ACAGACGGAGGTGTGGGTTTACACAATGGAGAACATATTCGTTTAAGTCCATACGCAGCACCTAATTGTGAAAGTAGCCATGCGTAAACGTATATTCTGAAATCATATTTTTATAATGTTGATGAAATGTGTAAAGGTAATAATTAAACCGAGAGTAGAAACTCAGACTGCAGAAATACACACTTGCGCAAATACTATAATAATGGTGTGGAAGTGATCCAAATAACTGACTGAAATCAAAGCATAATTTACGTCTTGCATAAAGGAAGACGCAGGAAATAATAGCTAAATAAATTGTAATCAATAGAAAAACGGGAAGACTGAATAGAATACCGGATAGAAATTGATTGATAGAAGTATAAAGGGTAAATAGGTACACAAACGAATATTTAGCTATTAAGTCGGGCGTTGAAAACTGAAAAGACAGAGCTTGAGGTACATAGAGAATATAATGTGTCATGTCAAAAAAGCAAGTAGTAAACAGAAATACAATTAAGATTATGGCACTGTTTGGACAGTACCTTCGTTTTTACTGTGCTGGATTCGTACTAGTTACAGATTCACATCGATTGTGATAAAATTACATTCAGATTGAATAACTATTGCTTGGACCCAACTTTGCTAGTAGTCACAAGCGCGGCCACAAGAGTTCTTTCGAAAAATATGAAAAAGTGAGGGACTGTTAGTGCTCACTACTCCTTGTGGATAAATCGAAAAATCATTCATTGATAAACCACCGGCTGTTATCATAAACGCGACTGAATATCAAAACAAGGATTATCAGTGAAAAATAATAAGTCCCACGATTTATCCACGAGGAGCGCTAGTAGCAGTCACTCATAAGTATTTCATATTCTTGGAAAGAAGTAAGAACTCTATAGTAGCTGCCGATCGAACATTGTGAGTTATAGGCCGACGTGCGACCAGTCTATCTACAGCCGTTGTCACTAGTCAAGTATTTAATCTAATAACGATCAAATAAAGAGTATAAATACACCTTTTTAGTTTAATAGTATTTTATATTGCATACAAAACAGTTAGAAAGCTCTAACGAGCGATGGTGACGGTGCGAATTCAATTTTTTTGTAAAAATAAACCTCAGGTGACAGGTAAAAACTTAAATAAAAGTGCTACGGGACATGGCTGGATGCCAACCGGTCGCCTAACCTAATGAGTTGGTCATACAAACTGTGCACATCGGCGATTGACAATTAAAACGTCGAATCGAACGTTAAATAATAATATGGGAAAGAGTCTAGAGTTTGGACAAAATGATAAGATTGAAGAAACACATGCATGCCCTATCTCTCTCGCTGCGCACATATTTGGGTTAAAATGCGCGGTCTATTGAATGAAATGATTTTGGGCGCAGAGTACAAATGTTGGAATAAAGTAATTGTACTACATTTATTAATTTTTTTGTACAGTATTCATGTATCCGTGTCAGTTGTGAAATTACGGGGGGGGGGATTTGGGTGTCGTACCCCCCCCCCCCCATGATGTTATACATATCACAATGGTCGTATTAAGCAGTGTTTATGATAAATACAAAAAAAAAAAAATTGAGGGGAAGAGGGGGTGATGAGTAAAATGTATGCAATTTTTATTTTATCCCCCCCCCACAGACATGAACAAATTACACCACTGATCCGTGTACGCATGTATTTATTTAGTTAATGGGATTGAAAGTGGTTTGTTTTTTTCATGTTTTAGATCAAAAAGCCTGACAACATTTCGACTACTTAGGATGATCCAATTTTTTTTTTGTGTCTGGACCCACAATACCTTTAAAGTCTCTGAACTGATTTCTTTTTGTAGCAATTCTATGGACCAGAAATCGTACCTAAAAAAAGGTATTTAAGAAGTCAAAAATTAGAAAAAATTAACCTCTTCCATTTCAAATTTGAGAAAACACCTTAAAAATGTATTTATTTTCAACAAATAATATGGCGCTTTATAACTTTTTAAAAAAATTGTAAAATTAGTTCCAAATTTGTATGGAATATTCTTCAGCTATAAAATTACCGATAAACGTCAATGAACCCAAAAAATATCATAAAACCCTTAAAAGAGGTGGACAATTTTGCTTTGTTTCATTTTTCAAGAAAAGTTTTAGGACAAAAGGTCTGAAAATTAGACTGAAGGTAGATCCATGTGGGATTCAAATTTCTAGGTTGCTGTGTGTGAATGGATCAACAGTCATTAGTCAACAAGTATTTGAAAATATTTCCACTATATTGTTAATTTCGATGTATGGCTAAGAACGGCACCAAATTATTATAGACTGACGATTTAATCTTAATCGTATCTACCCTAATACAGAATACTAAAAATAAAATTATAATCACATTAGTGACATTAAAAATGCTTTTATCTATAATTGTATCTTCGACCATCTACAGATTCGCATCGAAGCGTTTATTTGAAAGCGATTTTACTACTTTCAGTTATAATAGTAATAGTTTATGAAAACCTGCGATCCGCTGTGGCTTTTGGCTAAACGAAGACTTGTTTAAAAGACATTCTTGTAAGTTGTTTGTACTCAAGTGTCATTGTTAGTTGGAGTTGTTAATACATACCTACTTCTGATTGCAATCCATCTGACCTAAGCATCTAAAACAATCAATTTGATCGACTCGATTTGTGCTATTATAGCAAAGTATAATAATATATTGAATCATCGGTTGTCGATGAAAAAATAAAATCCCGGGCCACTGTAGGGTTTTGAGTGGGTTTATAACAAGAGTCAGTGAATATAAATGATGGTGACCTAAAAAAATAAATACAACAATAATCGATTTTATCGAGGGCATACCCTAGGATGAACAAACCGCTAAGTGAAAAGAAACACAGTTTGTGAAATATTGTTTTTTGGCGATAAAAAAAGGTCCACGCGGTGTTTTCCGCATGCCGAAACGCCTTGTGTATGCATATATTGTATTAAATGACGAGTTTTACAACGTATCAATTAATTATAATATGATGGTGTGAACTTCAAAATAAAAATGTCAAGAATCACAATAAACATTAGCCGTCAATCCGCCCCTTTATGTTCATATTACACTGCGCAAAAGCGTTTCCGATATTTTAAATAAACTATTAATACAGCTGAGCTGACCTGATTTCGTGTTATTGCCAACTAATAATCACAACATGACTACTCTGGGTAATTTGTAAATTTAATAAACGCCATTCGTTTAAATGCCATCGGTGGAAAATTCACGGCAATATGAAACACGTTGCGTTGTACGTTGTACTTGTCCATAGATGGCGTCAAGTGAATTGAAAACAAAATAAAGGGCGTTTGCCATTTTTTTGGCGTCGAACGATTTTAAATATGCTTTGTATTCCCAATCATAAGTACCTTTAATTGATTGTGTAATTATTGTAGTTTGACATTTTTAATGTTCATTAAAATGGCAACACTAACCTTTTTGTAAGTTAAAAAGTATACTATTTAAACTATAAAAGGAATTAAAAATAAATGTATCGTACAAAATAAAACGCACACAAACTAAAAACAGTAAAAGCTTCACAAATCTAAAACAAATACTTTGTGTGTGGATATTAAATTGTTCTAAATCTTAATTATTATCTATTTACTATATATAAATAGAAAAAAAAGTAGAGCCTATAAATAGGTTATTTTAACGATTAAAAACTTAATGATGATATTCATGCGAATAATTTAACAACTTAAATATAATAAAAGTTATTATATATATATATTTAGTTATAACATTAATAACAACTGTACAACAAAATTTAACCATTTTTTTGGAACAATAATAAAAAAAAAACATACATTTTTGTTAATTGTCTCTAAAATTGATAAACACGGTTTAAGATATTCTCTGGTTGTTTTATACGTTTGCATAATTTTCTCAAATTGATATCATATAAAGATTTTATTTCATTTATTTTAGTAAATTCGTATCTAGTTTCAGAATGTATAATTTTTAGTTTCGTTCATAATCATACAATATTTATTGAACATTTTTATTTTTATTTAATAAGTTGTTTACAAATTTGGAGGTAATTTAATTAAAATACACACGACGAGCTAGAGAAAATCTGAAATCAGAATCATATCCAGCGAAAAATAACTGTAAAACAGGTTAAAAACAATAATTTAAATACTTACTAAAGCCCAAATCAGTTTGTACAACAAGTATAATCTTGCACATCGTTGTTTTCCAAAAAAAAAAAAAAATGAAAATTAATATTTTAAAAGTAATTATCCATATTTTGGAGGGTATAAATTATTAAGTATTGACCTATTTTATTAAAACGAAAACTGAATGATCATTTTGAATTTGACGACCGACTTACCTTCGATGCAAAGCTTTTTTTTTTTTTTTTAAATCAACATTTATATTTAAAAATACATTAACCAACTTTAGAACAACGTAGTACACATCTATTAAATACTGATTCACACCATTTATGCCGACACAACCGAGTATGTTGTGTTCTAGTTAATTTTTATATTATATTTTTCAGTTCTCTTAAAAACGGTAAAAATTAGCATACTAAGCAGTGTTTACATAATTAACAATATCATCGTAATGCTCATTTGACAAGGCAAAAATGAACCGTAAAAGTACTCTAAAGACCAGCGTAATAAATAAGAATAACTCGTTAACGACAATTTATATCTTGTATATTCAAAATAATAGCCAATAAGGAGTACGTTTATTAAATGGCGTTATTCTTTATTATCTAGCACGTGTTAGGCATAACAGAAACAAAGGTAGTCAACCCAACATACGTCGTGAACAAAATAATGGAGCCTTACAGAACGACTCCTTAAATATTCAATAGATAGGCATCACAACGAGCGTCCATGTTTTCCCAGTGACTATACCGACTCCTTATTATATATATATATTATTGTTAAAAATAGTTAAAAAAACTATTTCTATTATTTATTACTTTTAATTTGTTTGTATAATTCGATTTTTATTAATTTCGTATTACAAAACAACAATTTGAGTACTTTATTTTGGCCACACAGTGTTCTCTATCCATGTAATATAATTGGATATCTTTGTATAAACACCGGGCATACCGTTTCCACATATACCTCCAAATGAAATTATACCTACTTGTGTGTACACGCATGGGAATTCAGGATGTTTTATTTGAAGTGGTCCCCCGGAATCACCCTAAATAAAATCAAAAATAAATCACCGATCGTTACATAATTCTAATAATCATTTTTAAGCTATTACAAGAATTAAGTTTATTGCGGGTTTTGAGTATAGCAAACGTCCCAATTGTGTAATAATTTAACATAATAGGCGTTACATTTTAAACGTATAGCATAAGCCTCGATAAAACAATATTAATGTATTGATACAAATGTTCAAATGTTTACTTTGACTTTTCCGTATTACTTATTATTTTAATACAAATATGTACTCGATATTTTGGATTTAAGAAATATTTGGACTTTGTTTTAATTTCAAGAATATTTTCACCGTTAGTTCATTGTACAATTTTTGTTTATAGCATAAATATGTTGGACGTTTTATTATAGTATTTTAGCTTCGATGTGAAGCCGAGAAATTATTGGTTTAACAATGGTGCGTTTTTAATTGACCGGTGGACCGATTCTTTACGCAGCGACAGTCTAAAAACTGTTGGTCGTATTCGAATAAGCATTTTTCAAGGTGAAATAATGTAAAAGTTTACCCGTTCTCCTTTAAAATGTAGAAAATCTGCCAAAAACGTAAAATGTTTTCTATTCATCGCAGCCAAGTGTCTTTTATCGACGGTGTTTATAACAATGAAAAATCACTGTACAAATTACCTGACAGGTATCTTTTTGTACGCTGCCTGCGCAAAACCGACGGCTTTCCAATATTCCTGATAAATATTAGAATTAGATAAAATTTACTGTTGGCCGTCGGAGGGAATGCGGGGTATTGCACTGTTGCTGCGGCAAAACGTTTAAAGCTACTTTTAGCAAATGTGTACTCCGCGCACCGCCTGAACAACAATAAACGGTATTTTAGCTGTGTTAGAAGCACTGAACTATATACATGGAAGGCGCATAGTGAAAATAAATTGCCGACACACGGATTCCGCCATTTTGATTCTTGTCATGGATAAAACGGTGTAATATATCATTTGTTCCATGATAAAAATCTGATAACATCGTATTATCTTTTATCACCGGTTAAAAAAAAATGATATCAACAATATGAAGTCAGAAACCATTATCGAAAATCACTAAATAAAGTTGGATACGGTAAGTAAAATAACGAAACGGAATCAACATGGCGGCCTCTGAGGCTAGTCACTTTTGTTACATGGGAAATATGCATTAGGCGCGCCTTCCATGTATATAGTTCAGCGGTTAGAAGTCAATGTGTCTGCGTGTAACGCATTGAAGGACAAACCGAAACTTATTTGTCACCATCCGGTGGCTACGGTCGTCTGGTCAGGTGTTAAATTTCGAGCATGTGCGGTAATTTGGATGCACCACTCGAGACGTTATTTCGTATGTCCTGGCACCGGCATCGCCGGTATTGGATTTATAGTCCAAGTCGCCAAGCCGAACCCGCCGGGCGTAGGTCCTTAGACAACGGTAACGACGATTGCGATTATGTTGATTTGTCCGAAAATCGGTCGTTCGCATGGCCGTGTACGTACCCCGAGTGTTGAACTTTTCACAGTGTTAAAAAATCCACCTGTCGCTGATTAACGAGCCTCCACAATTCCAGATGACGTACTCCGGAACACTGCCATAGCCGATTAACGCCTGAAATATAAGACAAAAAGCTTAAAGTTATCATAAGCCCCGCCGTCGCATCGCGCGTAGGTGTACTCGAGCGGCGGGGCCGAGTCTCGTGTTTGTACTGTACACGTAGTTTGTTAACAGTTGGTCAAGGCCAAAATTAAGAAAGAGTATTTCATTATCTCATCTTATAGATACCTCTACAAAAAAACAGTCGATTGGCGTAAAACAAATATTATGTACAACGCGCACTAAGACGAAAAAAATGTTAAAAAGGACATTTTTTTAACCTTTTTAATATTAGTTATACTATATTATATTATTATTGTGCAACCTATAACTACGTTTTGATGTCTAACGGAACATTTTCATTGCCATTCTTAGAGCTTACTGCTTCCTATTGCTCTCCCGTAACATTCCCAAACCCTCGCAATCTATTATCCCTCATTTTGTCCGCTATCCAAGACACGCCTACGCTATCCTATCTCTTTAGTATTCGTTTCTTATTCTTCCTGTCTTCTCTCGTCATGCCACTTGTCCACCTAAGCGTTCTCGTCTCATTGAAATACTATTGTTACATAAAACACCTGACGGTTCTTTCAACTTGATGATCCAACCACATTTAATCCTATGTTTTACATCCTCGTCAATGCCACCTAGCTTCTGTACAAAACATTCTAAATACCTAGAACTCTAAACCTCGCCGACTATGTAAAATATCAATAGTACAATATACTGTATATTAATTATCATAATATTATTTGATATCATACATTTTGACAGGCAATCCAATATTAATATGTAAACACGAGTGTTTTGATAATATTTCCTACACAGTGTACACTTAATTATACGTGTATTGTTTTCAAGGTAACGGAATATATTATTATGTATAAAAGGTGAGTCCTCTTGGCTCAAGGTTGAAGCGTCTAAAGCCAAAACAACTTTGACTATAAATGGGGTGGAATACTTTGAAATAAAAACAAAAAATTAATTTAGTATTATTTTTCAAATGGAATTTCGCGTATCTATCCACACAAACGACAATATTTACGAGTTAGGATTTAGAATTAAAAAAAAAAATGTTTAATTTGTTCTATGCGACTTTCAGAAAAAGCAAAATTAATAGAAATAGCAATACAGGATTAGTAGAACGTGGCAGAATATAAGGAGAGCCTTTCAACTAGAAGGATATTGAACCACCACATACGTATAAAAATCTCTTAGAAAAACATGCATTTTTCAATTTTTGAATGGGAATATTTACCATATGTGGGAATTCTTTGGGATCAGCTTTTGTACCGCCGACTATCAACGGTTTGTAATCCTTGCAGGTATTGATCGTATCGTATTTATTAATTGAATTTATCGACAGTGTTGGTTTTGGCACTTTTTTGTAAATCAGTTCAGAGTAATTTCGGCACACTAAAAATAACAAAAAAATATGCGAATCAACAACGGTTATAAAATAGTTGGTTTCCATATGAGATCGTTGGATGGACCATCGTTCGCTTTTGGACACAAATCGCCTAGAATTATTATTGTAAACGCAATAAAGTTAATTAAAACAAACGTGGCTTCACATCAAAGAGAACGCGTTAAGCCCAATATTTAAAGTCAATTAACTTAAAACCGCAAATAAAAATATTGGCAGTTAACTTTTGAAGCCATCACAGTGTTCTCGACCACGTTTGCCCCTATTTTTTTTTTAAGGGGGCCGCAACATGGTGTTTACAAATAAATATTAAGTAGAGAAATAAAAAAAATATAAACGCCACCCCATAGATAAAGTTGTTCTCTATACATTGTAAGAATTTGGTAGATTTACCCCTTGAGGGGGTCGGAGCACAACTAGTTTTCATGCGTTTAAGACCAATAAGCGGTGCTAAATTGGACATACTTCCCAATGTTGGATTTTTATTTTTTAAATATGTATAGATTTGTTGACACATTTTCTAGGTTTCTTAGGAAGACGATATTCAATTTTCTCTTTTGAAGACCTCCAAAATTATTTTTTTTGAAAATTCAGTGATAATTCCCCAATTACATTTGAATTTATTTTAGGCATACCAAATTTTTAAATCGAAAATCAGCTTCCTAAGAAACCTAGACAATTTGTCAACAAATCCATGCATACTTTATAAATTAAAATCCAACATTGAATAGGGTGGCGTTTTTATATTTTTGATATTTATACTTATTATTTTTTTAGTAAATTCCATGCTGCGGCCCCTTTAACTTAAACTTTGTTCATAAGTGCAGATTTAAAGAACCAGTACAGTGTACACCGGTACAGTAAGAAGTGAGGTTAGGGTGGTCATTAACATGAAAATAATTGAATCATAGTCAATCAGTAAATTAATTACACTAAAAAAAAAACCAAAATCTATGTAATATTCTATTTGATTTAGGAAGATGACCATTCATAATTTACCTTATAAAAATGTTATTCTTATGAAAAAAAAAATACTTATTATAGATGTTAGATGTTTAAACAATAAATTATTTATAATTTTGGTAAAAATATCTGGGACCATGAGAAATATTTTATAATATTTTCGAAATTATAAATGTATAAGCAAAACATATTTATTTATCATTTTAATAATATTAATGTATAAATTAAAAACTATCAATTTGATAAATATTTGACGACTAGTCATTACAGATAAGTAATTTTGAATTTTTGACTTTTGGAAAAAGAACAAAAATATATCTATTTTTTTATAACGTTTTTTTTAAAAATGTTATTCACTAAACCAAAACTGATAACCAATTTTCTCTTGCATGTCTAGTTATTTTTATGAATCGCCTCGTATAATTTATAAAAAACACCGTTTTATATAAATATGTTTACATTAGAAAAATGTTTTAAAATTTCTTTAAAATTAATTTTGTTTTTGCCGAATTAATAATTAATCTCAGAACTGTTGTAGAATTTTTAGTTTTTTTTTACACACAAAAGAAAATGATGAAAATCTGGTTTTTATTTACACTTAAGTTGTACAGAGTAATTGTTTAAAATTTTAAATTGTTGTTTCATCTAGCTTAACTTAGGCATACCTTTTGGTATATACATAAGTGGATATTTGTATTAGGTTTAAAATTGGTTTCAATTAAGTATGTTCCGTTAATGAGTCGTACAAGTATTGAGTGTAAACTCATCTTTAGATATTGAATGTTGGGTAGTTATTCCAATAAAAATAACACTTTGACCTTATGAGGAATCATTTTTGCATTTGTAAATTCTTACATTCAATACATCGTGTGCTTATTAGTGATTTTGCTTACTGTTTTATTATTATAATTCTCTATTAAGTGAATTCTAAAATTCTATTATAATTTTTTTTATTGTGGTTAATTTTATGTCATTTAATCCCAATAATGTTCTAGCTTATGATTTACAATTTAGGTTTAAAAATAATTCTTATTACTGTTTACTAAGAAAAATTAGTTAATAAGTAGGTTTTTTTTAATATAAATTAGAAATTAGTAGAAATTCAGTGGTGTGCATTTTTATATAATAATTGAATATATCGACTATAAATGACAAACCAATTACTTTTGTAGTAAAAGGAACCTGGAACTCTACGAAAAATGACCATGGGAAAGTCTGATTTCTAGTTTGCGATATTGCTTCTAAATTTAAGAATATCCAACCATCGAAATGCACCTATTTTTTGTCTAAACACTTTCAATTTACGATTTATCTCACTTTATGAGTGACATCACTCGAAAATAAATTGCTGGTTAGTTTTATTTAAACGTTCTTATCTTTTTTGTTTAACTGCACTTAATGTGTTAATGTAAACATGTATCTAACGTAAAAAAATATATATATAAAACGGTGTTCTTTAATTCCCAACACAAGTGACTTACCGTACTACTTAACTAAATGTAATAACACGTATCTAATATGTATGCTTACCCTCAGATAAGTTTAATGTCTGAGTTTTGAGTCCTGAACATAGAGCCAAAAAAAATGATAAGTCTTGATGTAGTATAAAAGTAATCTTCGTTTTTTATTGTCATAAATAAAATGTTATATTTCATTTTGGTAACACTTAAGACAAGAAACTCACTTTGTTTAACTTGATAAGTTATCGACTAAAAAAATATTGCTAATACTAATACAATACTGTACCAATTTAAAAAATATGATTATACTATGTTATAGTGTATTATACTACTGTTTACTATAAATATATTAGTAGTATATAGCACTTAACACTATAATTAAATAACCGGTTCTAACCGTATGAAAGGTTATGTTGCGTAGTGTTATGCGCAATAGTAAGTTATAGATAATCACATGAATAAATATTAAAAAAATTATGACTTCCTATTAGATCCATTATCCGCATACCACACCCTTTGTTTAAAATTGACCCTACTAGTTTGGTTAAATAGTAGGTTGCAAAAAAGTTAATATAGGTATGGAAAAATACATTTTTTCGAAACTGACTTCTCAAAATGACAAGCTCACAAAATAATGTTAAAAGTAGATTTAAAACATAATTTCACATTGGAGTTGTGATCATTTAGGTGGTCAATGATAACTACGTGAAAAGGGCCGTTTCATTAAGTATATATATATATATATGAGGCTCTCTAGTTATGACAAAATGTAATGAATTTCAATTTGGATTTTTTTTTGTAATTTCTTGTGAACTTAGGGCCGTATTTATAGTCAGTTCTTAAGAATAAGCATTGCTTAAGCTACCGTATTACCGTATTTAAGACTGACTATAAATACGGCCCCTAATCTTAAATTTATTATTTTAGTTTTCGAATTAACTCAATACCAAAAATTATAAAATTACTCTAAAAAAAATGGACACCATTAACTAGCGCTCAGTTTTGTGTTAAAGTTGATCATATTCAAAGTACAAACTCTTCTTACATCGTGTTCTTAAATCAATTTTTGAAAATTTAAATACGTGTGTGTGGGAAGACTTCTTCGATGGAACAAAAATAAAGTTATCGAAATAATCATCATGTAGCCCAAACTACTGAAGCGTAAAAATCCCTCATTTTTAACCTAGACTTATAATGCCTTGCTGACTTGTTGTAATCGACCAATTTCGTCGCTTTGATTTATAAAACTCTAATTTTTTCTACCGCTGAATAAAATATTCTTGCTACTATAAACTAGGTTTTATATGAATTCATACCATGTGCTGGTAGACCGGCATGTTAGGCCTACGGTTGAAACGCACACTCACAATAAACCTTACACCTGGCCCGTACTGCCCACCTGCATCCTTTACAATATTATCAGTGTTTCTGCTAGCCTACAATGGATAGCCGGGCGTCACCGTTTTCCGCCAAAATAAATAAAACATTTTTACCTAATATTTTTTAAGAAGAATTTTTTTTAGTCTTCTAAATTTAACTTATGTATTTTTTTCATGTATCCCGAATCAAAATGTATTTTGTTAATCAAATAAACATGTCATAGGATACCATCTATATAATATACTGATAATTATATTGTCTCGTCAGTGGAAAAATCACGCGACTGTTTATTGTGTTTTTTAAAATAAATTATTCAAATATGAAGTGTCATTTTCTTTTATTACGTCGGAAAAAATGAAGTATTTACGAGGTGACCGTGGCCATATTATGTTAATATATAGAAATTTAAAATTTAAGTACGCGCACACAGCTAAAAATTGCATTACACGATGGAGGTGCTACAACGGAAAATGTACGGTTAAAATTTTCACGAAAAATAATAATTGTGAACTCGTCAGAATATTGAGTAAGCATATAGGAGAATATAGTGCTGTCGATAGACGTATCACAGATGGACAAATTATTAATTCTCTATATTTTCTATTCCTGCTCATCACCACACTTATCCTTTTTGAAATTCTCAGCTTTTATTTATGCCCAAAATAGAAAATTTAACATTTCAATTTACAGAATCAATTATGTACGTAAATTTCTAGCCCTGAAGCCGGATGTTCCAGTTCATAATAGAAATTAGTAGGTCAAATATCTGGTCATCAAAATGAATTATTATGCTCGTTTACTTCTCTATTTCTTTTATTATTTCCGCTCAAATCTTCGTATTACATTACTCTCGCTAATAATTGATTTATTCTAATTCAATTTTATCTTTACATTTGGTTTTCAAGTGTACTATTATAATAACGAAATTAGAGGATATAGTTTCTCAATAGTCTTTTTAGAATAATTTTGATTTCGAAATAGTATATTACGATCGACAGACGGGCTATCTGGTCATTCTGGCCTCGTGTGTTCTTTTCAAATAGAAAAGGCAGGTAAAATAGAGCTCGATAATCCGAGTAGGCTATAAGGTGACATATTAGACGAATATAAGGCAAGTACCTGCGAAATAACAACCTAAGCGGAACAACACGTTATTTCAACAGGGTACAAAAAAAAAAAAAAAAAATAAGAATAAGAATAGTGTCGAAGCGACGGCAGATGTGAAATCCTGAAAGAAACACTACCCTCTTTTTATGAGATGGCTGGTTGGATACCATACAAATATTTTGTAACGGTTTTCGGATCAAATTCAATTATAATATGATAACTAGTAACTATAACTAAATGCTCATTGCTCGACAACCAAAAGGTTAAAATACAATAAACTATTTACAAATTGTATGGACAAATCATGATGATTATGAACCATTGCTCGCCCGGCAAACGGAGCGCCCGTGACCGAGTGTCGAACCGACGACAGTGAGCGCTAACACACCGCGGCCTTACCCACTCGGCCACTCTTCTACCATGAACAATAATTATGATCAATAATTAAATTCAAATACTCTACATACGGATAGGTATTGAAGGGAAGAAGAAGGTGTTAGTTCACGGTATGAGACTTGGGTAAGTCATAGTTTGACACGCTGTCAATCTAGTT